TCACCTATCATTTAATGTCACAGTAATGTAACTTAGACTAGAGTTGTAACTCCAGTAGCTAAATATCATACTCATAGCAAATGCAACCTCATCAATACTTGGGATTGACACGTCATTGAATTCGTGTAAGTCAAATACAGTTAAAGTAATAAAATCTTTTGGATCATACATTAAATCAAAAGTTTATTATTGTTAAAAATATTAATGCTGCAATAAATCATTTTTTCTTCCTTTAAAATTTAAATCCAACCTTCTTTGTTTTCAGTTCCAATTACTCCATTTTCTTTACGTATTGCAGCTCTATCCGAGATCCAATGAAGTTCAAGTTTCAGCATATATTTTTAATTCTTTCTGTGAGTAATTTTTATTTTTATACTTCTTTCTGTGTTCACAATGAAGAAGTTAGTGTATGATTTGTGCATTTGTTTCAGGTGGCATTAGTGGCAAGCCATGAAGCTTTACCTTCACAGGAAGACTACTGGAGATCTGTGCTGCCTAACTCTTCCATGCCTAAAGCTGTGAAGGATCTTTTCCATCCTGGTTTGTCTTGAACTCACAATCTTGTGTGTAGATCAGTGCTTTGAAAAACTAATTCGGGCAAAACACCAAATAAATAAATAAAAAGGCTTTATTTTTCTTTTTCAAAACATGAATGGGTAAAACCAATTCCAGTTGAGGGTGAACTGATCCATTTCAAGAATCTTTTCAATGTTCTATCATGTAATTGAAGTGGATTTAGAAGGACATTTTTCTTCTTTTCTGAAGTAAAATAAGTTCAAATTCAACCAATTTTCAGGCAAATCAGTCTATGTTGGAGTCACACCAGATGCATTTCCCATCATCTACCACCATGGAGCTGACGAAAATCAACTGCGTGATAATCAAAACGTAACCCTATTCTTTCTGGAAAAGGATCTTTATAAAGGAAATAATATGAAATTGCACTTTTTCATGAGTGCATACGATCAGGGCAGTTTATTGCCGCGTCGAGTAGCTGATTCAATTCCATTTTCTTCAGGAAAGTTCCTAGAAATTCTGAACAGATTTTCAGTAAATCCCAGTTCGAAAAAGGCAAAAATCATGAAGAAAACACTTCAAGAATGCGAAGAGGCAGGGATAAAAGGAGAAGAAAAATACTGTGCTACTTCATTGGAATCCATGGTGGATTTCAGCACCTCCAAGTTGGGATCAAAAATCGAGGCTGTTTCTTTAGAGACAGAGAATGAAACTCCATTGCAGAAGTACAAAATTGTTAAGGTCAAGAAAATGTCGGGCGAAAAGTAGTTGCTTGCCACAAGCAAAAGTATGCATATGTTGTTTTTTACTGCCACAAGACAGAATCCACCGTGGCTTACAAGGTGGCGATGTTGGGGGAAAGTGGCGCTAAGGTGGAAGCTGTGGCGGTTTGCCACCAGGATACGACGGCGTGGAACCCGAAACACTTGGCTTTTCAGTTGCTGAAGCTGAAACCAGGGAATATTCCAGTCTGCCATTTCCTTCCTAAGGATAACCTCGTATGGGTTCCTAAATATTAGTGTGTGTTGATTTTAGTTATCTATTTTGTGTGGTTTCATATATGCAGTAGCATGAATATCTACTTATTTAGGCGTTCTTGGTGCTGTATCTTCGCCTAGAATGTGGAAATATATCTATGTGCGAACTGTTTAGCTACTTTTTTGTTTATATCGTTGTTGAGACCATAATTCTATTTCACCAAGTGCAGTCAGTTTGAAGAGAGAAAAATAAACGCTCAAAAACACGCAAAATTTATAGAGGTTGGCTTCAATATAATACTATGTCTTTCCCACCGCGACAGTAATTCACTATGATAAATTTAAAAGGTTTATAAGAGCTGCACACCTATCTTTCTAACATCTCTCTTTTTTTATGATAAAAATAAGCGTAAGGACATATGGCTCCCTATTTATAAGATAAATTAGGGCAAATTCACATTTTACAGAGACTTTTATTTTTAATAAAATATTACAAGAATATAAATTTCTAAACAATCATTAAAGCCCCTTGAAGTGGCAATTATTAAGATTGATCGTAATTAGGTTCCACAGCCTAACAATCATGACTTTATGATGCTCATCCAATTTTTGATAGTTTTCTATAGGCTGGATGTGGTTTGATTTAGTTCGTTTCGATTCTAATGAGAATCGAACTGACCCGAAATTTTCGAGTATTTAGTAAGTGGAATCGTCGGGTCTAAATTTAATTATGGAACTGTTCGGGTTCGGTTCAGTTCCATTCAACTCCAAAATTCCGTATTATAATTAATTTTTTTAATATTTATAAAGTTACATTAATTGAACTAATGATATGTTCAATGTTAGCTCGTACAAAATAATATTGTCCAATCTGTGTCTTTTGCGTCTCTCTTTGTTGAGTTCTTCATAGATTTGATTGTTAAAATCATACGAAGAGGAAGATAACGAGTTCAAAATAATTAAGAGAGGCATTGTCGAGTTTTAATTCGATTTATCCAGAACGGTAAAAATGACACTACGGTAGAGTAATAGATTTGGATAAAATTTAGGTCAATTTGATTAAATTGACTTTGAATAGAAAATTAAAAATAGGAAAATCATATTTTTGGTTTGAACTAAATTACCTTGTTAACAAATTTATTTAGAAAAAATAAAATAATTTTGCATATTTAAAATAAATTAATTAAAAAAATTAAGGAGATTAGATTCTTATTCGGTTCTTCGGGTCTTGATTTAGAATCGAGAATCGAATCAAACTCGTCGATTCTGGATTCAGATACCCGTTCAAGTATTTAACTTAAAAAGAACCGCTCGATTCGATTTGAAAGTTTTGTCCAGTCCTAGTTTTCTACACCTTAAAAAATCTTTTTAAAGCACTACTTGAACATACAAGTACCCTATTATTAGCTAATATTAGATCAAAAATGAAAAAGTAAAAGAATTGACAAATCGTTATACATGGTTTTACGTGTGTTATTGTGGTACTATTAACTCGTGTTATTTGGACGTTTAGGATTTTTGGTTTTTCTTTACAGATAGTTGTCATGTTAAGCGATGGTACCAACTAAAACAATTTAATGGATCGACTTCACTAACTGATGCAGGAGGATTCGAGTCGAGTGTTGTTGATTTGTCAGATAACACGATGATGGTGTTGAGATACCATGAGTTGGCGGATCGGCGCAAAGATGGGAAGTGAATCGCAATTATTTCCTTAATTTAGGGAATTTGACATGTCTTTGGTAATTATGCTATAACTTTGGCTACAATTATCAGAATCGCTATTATGACCCCAATCCGGAAAGCTCTTGTCGGCGCGCATGCCGTGGCCACCCAGCTATGCTCGGTGGGCATCAACTTAGAGCCCAAAATTCGCTGTTTTCCTTTTCAAAATTTAATTTTTAGTTACTTTTTGCTATTTATGATAATATATCGTTTCCCTTTTCCATATATTAGAGAACTCAAATTGAGCTAAATTTTTGACAACCTACTTCTTTTACTTAATAAGTTATTCTGGAATAATTTTGAAATTTTGCCATTTATGGTAATTTTCCTATAATTTCGTATTTTGCAACAATTTAACTTGTCTTGTGGGTTAATTTTGATCATTCTGCATTATTAATAATATTCTGTTGATTTCAGAGTACTTTCTTTGGTTTTTGGGTGTTTTCTTTCGTTTCTTTCTTGCGAATCATTTGCTACAACAAGGCAATAGGATAATCACTATCATACCCAGCGTCAGTTGGTATCAGAGCGTCAGAATCTTCTTGGGAGATAAATTCCATCAGTTATAATGGTTGGTGGACGTGGTCGTCGAAGGCAGGTTCCGATTAAGAAAGTCCCACACCGTGATTGTAATATTCAAGATGTAACGATTGAAGATTTGCAAAGACAAGTAGCGGAGTTAACCCAACGTTTGACGGAGCAGGAGTTCCGTAGTCATGAGGTGGAGGGTCATGATTCCGATACCAGTTTCGAAAACTCGTATCACCATTGTGCTCGAGTTTGGGAGCATCGTGGACTGGATGATCGTCATGTGGATCTCAATTTTAGAGTGGATCTACCCGAGTTTTTGGGTACGTTGCAGGCTAAAGGATTTATTGATTGGCTGAATGAAGTGGAGCGGATTTTTGAATATAAAGAAGTTCCAGATCGTGTCAAAGTAAAACTAGTCGCCATCAAACTCAAAGGTAAAGCATCTGCATGGTGGGAACAGTTGAAGCATTCAAGGGAGCGACAGGGGAAATCCAAAATTACTGACTGGGAGAAGATGAAGAAAAAGATGAAAGGGCACTTCCTCCCTTTCGGCTATACTCAAACCTTATTTCAGAGGCTCCATTCACTGAGGCAAGGCGCAAGATCGATCAATGATTATACTGAGGAATTCTATCAGCTGGTGGCTCAGAATGATTTATCCGAGACGGAGGAGCACATGGTAGCACGGTATTTGGGGGATTAAGGCAGCCTCTGCAGGATGTTCTCAGCCTTCATTCATTGTGGACGGTTTCTGAGGCATATCAGCGGGCACTTGCATTGGAAAAACAGCAGAGTAGGAGGCCAGTGGTCAGAGGTGAAGATAGTCAGCCAGTTCGCCCTCAAGAATCTCGTGCTGCTTATCAGCCACAGCGGGACAATTCCAACTCAAGTATTAAGTATTTCAGGTGTGGTGAACAGGGGCATAGGGCGACTGATTACAGGAAGCCTGCTGGTCAGAAGAATAAAAATCTTCTGATTGAGGAAGATAGGATAAAGGAGTTCGAGGAAGTTGGGGAGCCTGTGTATGATGATGGTGAAGATGAGGACGTGCTATATGGAGATGGCTAGGAGACCTTGGTCATTCGAAAAAGCCTGCTGACTCCCAAGGGTGATTTAGGGGATGATTGGTTGAGAACCAACGTTTTCCACACAACCTGCACAGTTGTTGATAGAGTCTACAAGCTGATAATTGATAGTGACAGTTGTGAGAATGTAGTGTCTAAGGAGGCTATCGAGAAACTGCAACTGAAGATGGATCATCATCCCAAACCATACAAATTGTCTTACCCGAATAAAGGCAGTGAGGTGACGGTAGAAAAACGGTGCTTAGTGTCTTTTTCGATTGGAAAAAAATATTTTGATAATGCCTGGTGTGATGTTGTGTTAATGGACGCGTGTTATGTTTTGTTGGGACGACCTTGGCAGTATGATCGCAACGTTATCCATGATGGGTGGAAGAATACTTATTCTCTTAGCATCAAAGGGAATAAAATTATTTTGGCACATCGCAAGGAAGAAGACATCCCTGCCCCGGTAGTTAATAACATCAATCTACTTTCTATGTTCAGGTTCTTGGTTGAGGTTGGGCGTGAAAAAATAGTTTATGCTTTAATGCCTCGTGAAAATAGTGCAACGAATGTGGATTCAAAAGTATCAGCAGAAGTGCAGCAACTACTGATGGAGTTTTCTGACTTGATGCCGAAGGATCTTCCTCCAGGATTACCACCTATGAGGGACATTCAACATCAGATCGACCTTATTCTAGGGTCAAGTCTACCAAACCGACTAGCATATCACCTTAATCCCAAGGAAGCTGAAGAGTTGCAGCGACAGGTGGTAGAATTACTGGAAAGGGGCTACATTCATGAGAATAGGAGATTAATTAAAATAAAATAATTTATTTTGTTTATTTAAAATAAATTAATTAAAAAAATTAAGGAGATTAGATTCTTATTCGAGTCTTGATTTAGAATCGAGAATCAAATCAAACTCGTCGATTCTGGATTCAGATACCCGTTCAAGTATTTAACTTAAAAAGAACCGCTCGATTCAATCGATTCGATTCGGAAGTTTTGTCCAATCCTAGTTTTCTACACCTTAAAAAATCTTTTTAAAGCACTACTTGAACATACAAGTACCCTATTATTAGCTAATATTAGATCAAAAATGAAAAGTAAAAGAATTGACAAATCGTTATACATGGTTTTACGTGTGTTATCGTGGTACTATTGACTCGTGTTATTTGGACGTTTAGGATTTTTGGTTTTTCTTTACAGATAGTTGTCATGTTAAGCGATGGTACCAACTAAAACAATTTAATGGATCAATTTGATTAACTGATGCAGGAGGATCCGAGTCGAGTGATGCTGATTTGTCAGATAACACGATGATGGTGCTGAGATACCATGAGATGGCGGATCGGCACAAAGATGGGAAGTGAATCGCAATTATTTCCTTAATTGGGAAAATTTGACATGTCTTTGGTAATTAGGTCATAACTTTGGTTACGGTTATCAAAATCGCTATTATGACTATAATACGAAAAGCTCTTTTCGACGCGCACGTCGTGGCCACCCAGCTATGCTCGGTGGGCTTCAATTTTGAGCCCAAAATCCGCTGTTTTCCTTTCCAAAATTTAATTTTTAGTTATTTTTTACTATTTATGGTAATATTTCGTTTCCCTTTTTCCATCTATTAGAAAACTCGAATTGAGTCAAATTTTTGGCAACCTACTTCTTTACTTAATATTTTATTCTGGTGTAATTTCGTGATTTTGCCATTTTTGGTAATTTTTCTATAATTTCGTATTTTGCAGCTATTTAACCCGACTTGTAGGTTAAATTTGGTCATTCTGCATTATTAATAATATTGAGTTGATTTCATAGTATTTTCTCTCGTTTTTGGGCATTTTCTTTCGTTTCTTTCTTGCGAATCATATGCTACAAGCCAATAGAATAATCACTATCCTACCCGGCGTCATTAATATTAAAAGTTTGAGGGCAATTCAACATTGAAAAAAAGTTCCAAGGTCGATATATTTTTTCCAAACTAAACTACTAATGGATATCACCATGCCAAAAAAATGGATGAAATATTTTAAATGACCTTAAATTAATGGAAAAAGTTGATTACAGACCATCACTAAATTATAATTTAAGGACATTTAGATGTACTATCATCAAAAATAATTTTCTCGGATTACTGTCACATTACTAAGTGCCTTCTAACCCTTATCCTTGCAGCCCTTTTCCCGTCCCTAACGCTTCCTCCCTCTCCTCCTTCATCTTTCTTTCTCCATGCTCTATTTCGTAGTTTATCATGTATATGAGAGATCATGAGCATCTCATACAAGGTTTCCAAATACAACGGCAGGAGATGTGGATTAAAATATTTTGAATGTGAGTTGCTGCAAGACTAGCAAATGCAGGAATTAATTTTGGAAGAAACAACAGAGAACTTTAATTATAAATTCATTCTTATTCCTCTTGCTTAATTGCTGTACATTTGTTGAATTATAGAAATAGAAAGGATTCAAACTTAACAAACTCAAACAAAAAAGGCGTAAAAATGAATTTAATTTATACAACAATTTTTAGCTAATAAATTCTCCAGTTGCATAATAATTATTCTGGAAGCTTTCTTTTCTTCTCTAGGATCTCTCTTGACTTTTGATGATTCGTCATCAGCTGCTTTTCCAATCTGGTACTTACATGTTTGTTGGCAAATACTCTTCAATTGAGCTTCTCCTTTATTCTTTTTAATAGACCCCACAAGATGGAGTGTAGATGTCTGTTACTCCCGTCTTGAGCATACACGAATAAAAGCTTTGAGAGCCTAAGCCCTTAGTGAAGATGTCTACCACATTGTGAACTACTAGTGACATGTTTTTGCAAGATGCTTCCTTCTTGAATCATATCCCGAATTAAGTAACAATCGATTTCTATGTCCTTAGTTTTCTCATAGAATACAGGATTTGTGGCAATATGTATTGCTTATTTGTCATCACAATACAAAAGAGTAGCCTATGGATGTGAAATTTGCAGTCTTTGAACAAATACCAGAGCCAACTCAACTCAAAACAGATATTAACCATGGCTCTATTTATCTAATCAATAGGTTACATATTATTAATTAATCACGAATCACAAATTTTATAAGTCGTAACTTATTTCATGGTTACGAAGTATCTAATTAGTTAGTCATAAATTAATTTTTAGTCACAACTTATCAAATTTTTTGTCACAACTTAACAATTTTTTAAGTCACTCGTTAGTTAAAAATTATCTATTTCATTGGTCACATATTACTTATTGATCACACGTTAACCAATTTCTTGGTGTCAATCAGCCAAACAGTTTGTGACCACCGCCGTCGTTGCCATGACAACCGTTGTCGCTACCAACACCCCCACCACCACCCCTAAAATCAACACCATCTCACCAGCACTGCCATTTGTGACCACGACCACCATCACAACATCATTAAAACCATCACTTTACCAACACCACCTCACCACAAACAAATTAGATCCAAAATCGCCATCACCTCATTGCTGTGGTCGGTGGCTCCACCATCGATGCCACCACCACTACCACCATAACCACCATTTCCGACCAACACTCCTTCACGAACCTGTCAACAAAAAACCATCACGGTACTACTACCTTACCATCGCCGCCGATCCATCACCACTTGCACCAACTATCATTACCACCTGTACTAACAACATCGCATCACCAATAGCCAACCAAAGGGTATCTCCATCGCCAAGGTCAGTTGCTTCACTCCATAAACGTCACCTTGAACTGCACATAGAGCCCCTACCACCACTGCCACCGCAAGCACCTCTACCTGTACCACCAAAAAAACCACCCCAAACCCCCAACAACACAAAAATATGGAAACCACCACCACCACCACTCCAACAAACAAATCCAAAACCACCTCATCGCCATCGCAAATCCATTACCAACTGCACCAATCATGTGTAGCACCACCACCACCACCACTGAACTACAACAGTGCCCCTTCTACATGAAGCACAGCGTTGCAGCAGCACTTGGTGCCTCCACGTCTTCAATGCCGTCCAAGTGAGAGAGAGAAGATAGAGATAATAAGAATAGAGAAGCTAGAAACAATTTTTAAAGTTTGGTATGAATTTAGGTTAGGTGGATAGGGGGTACTTTTAAAATTGACCTAGTCAAAGGTCCTAATTTTCATTTTGACTTTTAAAAACTTGAAAATTATCACATTAACCTCTTGAATGGTAAAAGACATAGATACCCTTAAATGTATTATATAATTACAAAATATTGGATATTTTAAAAGACATTATTATCCTTTTAGTTAATAATTGAAAACTAAACACTTCTCTACTTATAAAACTGCAGAACGAGTTTCGAACACAGAAAAACTCTCATTTTTCATCTACTTAAACCTCAAAATATCAAAAAACTTCAAAGCAGAAACCAGAATTTTTTTCAGATCAATTACTTCAAATCGGTAAGTATATTTTTACACAAGCTTAATTTCAATTTCAGTAAAATAGTATACGTTTGAGTAGTTAAATCAGTAGTTAGTAGAATTTTTTTTAACAGGTCTATAATTTTTTTCTTTAGAACCATAAAAAATAAAAAGTCATATGCAAAATAAACAATCCGACGATTAATTGTGGGATGTTAACGAAGATTGTCAGACAGCCGACTAACAGTCGACCGACTGTCTAACAGTCGACAGCTGACTATCAAACTACCAACCTGACAATCCGCTGTTTAAGCCGACTGTCGGATTAAAACAGTCCACAGTAGGCTGTTTTCCCGACTGTTTTACGAATTTTTTTTATTAATTTCTGTTTTGGCAATTGTCTTATAATTTTAATTACAAGTTGATTAAATATCTGAATTTTTGTTGTTGTAATTGATTTAAAAATTCTATATCGTCATGCAGAATGTTAATCCCGGTCTGTTATTTCGGTGATTTCGAACTGAATGAAAATAATAGATGGGAATGGAGATGGACGAGTGATGTATGTGGTTGTATTGCAATTCTCGTAACAGAGAGTATATCATATGCAGAAGTGTACCAAGATTTGCAAAATAACCTGAAAGTCGATTCTTCTCAGCACAATATGCAACTGAGATATTTATTCAATGGTTATGGGGATTCGTCCATTCCGATGCCACCTATATTTGTTACTAACGATATTGAATTGGATTATCTATTAGAATTGAATAAAATGCATAGGACTCCAACTGTTCTTGGCGTGACTTTAGTTAAGAAGGACGTTGTCGAAGGTGAACACGAAGATTGAGATGGAGCGGATAATAATGATCGAGATTTTTGGGAGACAGTGGAGAAAGTTCCTGCAGATGATGTGGTTATTCCCGAGACAGTTGTTACTGATCGTGAAGTCACTGTTACGCACAGAAATTTAGTCGATAGTTGAGGATAACAAAAATATAAATGGTTTTACAAATGAAAATTTAATTGCTTTATCCTGACTGAGGCCTGAGCGGGGTGGGAGCTCAGGGATGGAACAAGTGGACCGTCCTCCAATTCTTTGCGTATGGCTTCTGATGATGAGGATTTGTATGTCGAGCAACTACTTGAAACCAAGAAAGATTTGCAAGAAGCTGTGCACCGGATGTCATTAAAATATAACTTTGAGTTCAAGGTAAAGAAATCAACCAAGTCATTGTTGACTGTTGCCTACGTTAATGACAATTGAAATTGATGCTTGAGAGCGACTAAGATGGACACGAATGAGTGCTTTGTAGTTCGCAAATATGCATGGGAACATACTTGCGAAGTGAAAATTTGTCGAAATGATCACAAACAAACTCGAGCATGGTTTATTGGTTGACAGATAATGCACAAGTGTCAGGACCCACAGACGATCTACAGACCTTCAGACATCATTAACAACGTTCATCGAGAGTATGGAGTTGTCATAAGATACCAGAAATCCTAGAAGGCCAAAAAATATGCGTTGGAGGATTTAATGGGATCGACTGAGGAGAGCTATGCTAAATTGGCCAGGTAATGCTATAACATGAGGACAACTAATCCTGGCATGACATTTTTTATTGAGACGAGGGGCGATAATTGTTTTAAGTATTTCTTTATGGCTCTCGGACAGTGTATTAGGGATTTTCGAAATTCAATACGACCTGTAATTCTAGTTGATGGTACAACTCTGAAAGCTAAATATCAAGGCAAATTAATTATTGCTACATGTCAAGACACCAACATCCAAATTTACCCTAGTACATTCGACATAGTAATGATCTGTCCATGCATTGGTTCTTTTCTAACTGAGGGAAGTGATCGGGGAAGTCGAAGACCTTGCCTTTATAATCGATCGGGGACAGTCTATAATAAACGGTATCGTTGAAGTTTTTTCCGAGGCACATCTCGGGTATTGCATGTACCATATACAAG